TACTAAAGAAATTAACGAAATGAGGTAACGTGAGACAAAATGTAAGTATAGGGTGGAAATTGAGTAAGTTGAAAGTTCATGGGGCATAGTGAGATGATAAGCAAAGCACAGGGGACATATCAATAGATAAGCCTAAAAAAATGTAGGACTATAGATATTCATAAATCCAATATTTATATATGTCAGATTTGGCCTAATGTGATATAGTGATTTTCCATTTTATACATGGATGGACTCAAACTTTCAAAATGAAATGAGTTAGATTTACCTTACGATTGAATTTTTAGGTTTTGGATTGAGGACAACTACTCACTGCTATGTGTCATGTTGGACGGTTACATATTGCATACTTCAACCAAATCTGCTACAAAAGGAATCAAGACAACTCTCAATTAAATGTAGTCTAACCTCTCTCTTACTTTTTTAAGAAAACATTTTCTATTGAGAGGTGAGATAGTATATTAAAGTCACACACACTACACACGGATGTTAAGATCTTTTCTGGGAGAATAATTGTTCAAAACCATTACAGTAGTGGGCCATTTGTAACATCTCTTGTTTAAAGTAATCAATGACAACTCGCTATTTTTTAAAATATAACAATAGTGGCACCACCACATTCTTTTTTTCTTAATATTGCTTGAAAGGGTAAAACTCTTAAGCAACTGTCTTGTAGAGGTTAGCTTACTTCCTACGGTTAAGCATTTTGCTTAAAAACAACATTTATTTGAGGATTTTAAATACTTTTTGTGCATATATAAATATGTTTTTTAGGCATAGGAACTACTTTATGTTGGAAAATTGACTGTACTGCTTCAGGCAGAGAAGCGAAATCAATGAGACTACCGGACATATGGCTTTTGAAAAATTGATCACTGAGGTAGTCAAAAGATTCACGATCCTTCACAAGGCCCCTCCTTAGTGAGACTAAGATTGAAGCATTGAGTATCAGATTTTATGGTTACCGCTGTACAATTACATGATTTGGTAGAACTTGACAATTGTGTAGAATGATTGTGTGCTTGGCGGTTCCAGGATTCAAAAGTCAGTTGGACAAAACTTATATACTAAACTCGACGGTACGAGTGAATTTCATTAACAAACATAAAAAGATACACCTAGTCATGAGGGGCATAATGAGCCTTATCCTCAAATGCATCTCTATCCATAAATTAACGTTCTACAAATACAAAAGTTAAAAACTGGAGACTCATAATGGGAGACTCAGGAAGATTTTGCTCTTCACATATTAGAGTAGATAAAGAAGTGCTAGAAGACAATGTACTAGATGACGACCCATAATTCTTTTTTGTGTCATCGTTTAGCTATATTGTAGTAGTGTACTGTCACTTTCTTTCCTATAGCTCATCTTAATTTCTTCTGTGTTAATCTCTTATATTATATTTCTCTCAAACCTCACACCAAAAATACCTTGGGTTCAATAGGATTTTACAAGCTTGTTTTCCTTGTTGGGAAAATTTTAGAAATACTCTCTGTATTATCCTGGATTTCTTTGTAAATAAAAACTAATAATTTCCCTTCCATTTTCATTCTTTCTTTGTTTGTCCTTTGTTGGACGGACGGATTAAGAGGATTTTTTCATTTTTTGTCTAGTAAAAATCCTAAATACTTCCTACAGTTAAAGTATTTAGGTTATAGTTTTAAATAAAAATTGTTGAGTTGAGGATTTGGAGTACTTTAGGTTGGAATTGGTTGTTGCGTATGAACTTTTGATTTTATAAATAGGGAATGCTTGGTAAGTGAGATGTTTGGCATGTAATTTAAATAAATGCTATCATGTTTTGTATCAATTTTCTCATTTGAACTGAACATAAAACCATCCTCTTGTGCCCTAAAGAGCTAGGGGAAATTTGGAACAACTTGAAGAAGCAAGAGAGCAAGTAGCTGAAGATGAGCCAAGCTGATCAAGGGAACAAAAACATTCCGGTGCAGCGCAAGCGTGGTCGTCCACGGAAACATCCTCAGCCAAATAACTCAGGGCACAATGCTGCAAGTATTGGCATTAATAGTCCTCCACCAACAGCCCCTCCTGGATTTGAAAGAAGGGTTGTACGTACAACTGATGTGAGGGTGGGATCAGTGGTCTGCGGTTTCATTGATGCAGAATTTGATGGAGGGTATATGCTCACAGTTAGGGGTGATAACTTTCATACCACTTTAAAGGGTGTTTTGTACAAGCCTGGATCTTACCCTCATGTCTCAGCAGAGAATGGTGTGGGCCTTGGTGATCCAATGATAAGAAGAAATGAAGTTCCAGATGTTCATGGTTCATCAACTTGTGTTCCATCAGCTCGTCCTCCTCTTCCTCCTCCATCAAATGGATCAACGGTTGAAACCCAAGGCAGAGAAAATAATGAAGTTGCTACTTGGGTTAATCAACCCTCCACAGAGGCACTGCTTCAGGCAGAAGCCAGATACATGATACTGCCTGAGATGCCTTTTGAAGAATTGGTTAGTGAGGTAGTCAAGAGAATTCATGATCCTTCATAAGGCCCCGTCATCATCAGCTGATGTGGTTAGTATCAAACAATTCTATATAGAAGAGGGTTGTGTTTTTCTTAAATGAATAGATTCAGGATAGTGGATAACTTATACAGAGAGAGAGAGAGAGAGAGAGAGAGAGAGAGAGAGGCTTATGGTTGTTTTCTTAAACTAGGAACCGAGGAATATGTGTTTTACCCATTTATAGTTTATTTGATCGTCTTAACTTGTTGGATATGTCTCATCTCATCATGAAACAATTAAATTTTGACACATGTGATGTTGTCATTGGATCCCTCCATATTTGCATTAACTTTTTGCAGTTTGTATTGACCCTTAGCCCTATTTGGTTCATGGAATGAATTTGAGGGGAAATCATTTCCCATGTCATTCTCCAAGGAATGAGAATTAAAGATTCATTTCTCACGTTTGATAATACTGGGAAAGTAACTAGGAAATATCACTTTATTTCATTTCCCATGTTTGTTTTGAGTAGGAATGGAAAACAAAGTTTGTATAAATTTTCAATTATATCCATATTAAATCAAATAAAAAAAGAATGCATTTAATAATATATTGTAATTTTAAATTGTTAATGGTGTTAAAATGGTCATAAAAAATATGTATTTAATGTTAGCTCATTTTTCTAAACTTTCCCATGATGAGGGAAAACAAAACCCAAGTTTGGAGGATGACTTCACTTTCCCCCTTACTTTCCTGTGAGTCAATCAACGATTTCTCATACTTAGACTTACCAAATATGAGAAATCAATTGATTTTCCATTCCAAAGTCTCCATTCCCATGAACCAAACGAGACTTAGGACTATTGTATTTGTATCTGGCCTTATGGTTTACCATCGGTACGAGTGTGAATTATGAATGGAATCTTTCGACTTTGGCAAAACAATTATAAAAAAAAAGAAGTCTCTCGGGTGTGTCAGTGAGAGTATGAGAGAAATGAAGGCGAGTTTCCAATTTTATTTTATTTTTCCTTCTTTTATTGTTTTAGCCTTTTAAAACCATCTCGGGTGTGCCAAAGCGCCTAGGAGAGAAATGAAGTTGAGTATTGTTTTTTTTCTTTTCTTATTGTAGTTAAAATAAACAGTTTCTCCTTTTACTTTTAGTTTTAACTTTCTTAATTTAAAAATTTGAGTTTTTTTTTTTTTAAAAATTTTTGTAGCCTTTTATTTGACATATTACATGGTAGAGTACATACATAGTAAAATATGAAACGGGAAAAGTAGGAATACGTACGTGTTTTATTCGACAAAATTTGTGAAAAATACAAATGAAAAGTTCAACCACTACAGTATATATAATATTTAAATATAATTTATTTACAATTTGTAATATATATTATTTTTATTCAATAATATATGAAAAATATGTGAATTTTATATCTATATATCTATATATATAAAGCAAAATGCAGATAATGGTAAAACATTTAAAATACCAGAAAATGTCTTTGGTTAATGTAAACTTTAAGAATTGAAATTATTAATTAAATGAGGATAATATGGTAAATTCACACCTTTTCATATTAAAAAAAGTAAAATTAAAAAAAAATTAGATAATGAATCATATTTTTATGGAACATGACTACCTATTATATTTTTTAATTCTAAAATAAGTTTAAATTTTTTTAAAGAAAACCTTTCGCAAGTGTGGAAGCGTGCACGAAGGCTAGTATATATAAAGCAAAAGGTGGAGAATGATAAAACATTCAAAATACCAGAAAATGCCCTTGGTTAATTCAAATATTAAGAATTAAAATTATTAATTAAATGAAGATAATATGATAAATTCACATTTTTTCATATTAAACAAAATTAAAATAAATAAAAAATAAAAAAAAGATAATAAGTCATATTTTTATGGAACATAACTACCCATATTATCTTTTCTTAATTCTAAAAATAAAATAAAAAAGAAAACCAATTAGCATATGCGTGAGCATGTGCCAAGGGGCTAGTGTATTATTAAAATTTTGTACAAAAACGTGTATTAAATGTGAAGAATACATATATACATGTATTGTTTGTTTAATTTTAAAAATTGTGTATTTTACCAAGTCTTTCAAAGATATACGAAAAACGAAAGTATTTTACAAAAATACATATATGTATAATACAAGTATTATACAGGGAAATGCTAGTTAGGGTAGAGTAGTATAAAATACAAAGACACTCCCAACCATACTGTATTATAAGGACATTAACTAATGAGACCATGAGCTTTAGCACTGTTGAAAGAAAACCTCCTTCCCCCTTTGATTAAAAATAAACAAAAACCCAAAAGAAAAGTCAATCAGTAACTTCTTTTCCTCAAAGCATAAAAAAAAAAGGAACAAATAACAAAGAGACAGGATTTAGGAAAACAAAAAGATCAACTATGGTTGATCTCGTATCAAAAGGTCCAATAGAGATAAAAATAAAAGCATCTCCACTGCTTAATGGAAAACTTCCGGGCAATCAGTTGGAACATATAAACATCAGGGAATATAACATTTTAAAATCAAACGAATCATGTATCGAAAAAACAGTCAATCGAATCAATGCATCTCTTGTTCAAATACTTCACATGTTACTCTATTGACAAAATTATTCAAGGAAAAGCATGAAACCCACTCCCTTTTTGTAGAAGACAAGATCCCTACATATTTCAAAAAACAATGAAGGCTACACGCCCTTTAACCAGGTTTGACAGAAACCCTTGTGCAAAAGTTGTCCGACTTTTATGTATAGAAAAAACACAGCGAGTGAATACAGGTTGACTGGACTCTTGTCCAGTAAAAGAATTTAAGGCCAAAATTTTCTAGAATTATAATATATAAGGATGGGGAGAAGAACCCCTAGCTGAGGTGACTAGTGAAAGAAACCGATATTCACCCAAACTTAGGATCAACAAGATCATTAGATCCTGGGACTTAAATGAGACAATTAGAAGGGAAGGGAAGTTGCAAAAAGGGGATGTGTCTTGGCAATGGGGAAAGGCTGCTGACCAGTAGCCATGAACGGCGGAGGCACACACAGCTGAAAGGCTTGGGCTGCTGCAGGTCCTGCATTAAATAAGGAAAAGAAAGCAAAAATTACCCAAAGAGAGATTCAAAATGTGGAAGAAATTCAGACCTGCTGTCATTTGAAATTTAAATGGTGAAAGTTACATTAGCATCCATGAACATGACACGAAAAGAATTCGTGAAAAAAGCTATAATTTTGTTCCTCAGGATTTCCCTTAGCAAATAATTCACATTCAAGATTTGTTTTAACAAAGAATTTTTTTTTTTTTGGAGCAGAAACAGAAAATACCCCGCAAAATAATACAGATGCTCATTAACTTTTCCATTTTCATTGTCAAATGAAGATTCATTGGGAACTTAATAACTTAGCCCATACCTTGGTGCTTCGGAAACTGGACCTGATGTGGGGTCAACACAGGACGAGCAGGCAGTGGTGACATAGCCGTTGCACCCTGAACCAAATCCTGCAATATAAGATGAAGGGAGATCAATAAATTTGAAATAAATGATACAAAAATCATTACCACCACAAGTCTTCTTACTATTTACTTTTATTGTTATCACACTTCGAAGGAATATTATTATCATTTTTGTTGTTGTTACTGTTACTACAATACCCATTATTTGTACTCGGCGATAAAAAATATTCCTTGTTATTTCAAAAATAATATGACGGGGCTCCTGGCACATAGACAGAAATCAGAATAACTTGAGTATAATGTATCAACAGGTGCGTCCTGCTACACCCCACAAGTGGACTAAAAATGAATATTTCTTGACCACTGAATAATTAACATACCCTGTAGAGCATCAACTTCAGTATATACTGTAATACTATTTTTAGCCAAACACAACTCAGTGCAAATCTCCAAAAGCATCCAGGTACCACTTCAAACTTAACTAATTAGAAATCATATCATAAGACAGCTTCAATCATAGGACCATGATCTTACTTGAGAAACTGGATGCATGTATACAACCTGCCCAAACCGTCCAACCATAACCTAGACAAAGAGGAGAGGGTTTAGTAAATCAGCAAAATAGAGTAAAAGATTTATCCTGATCCTAAACCACTGAAAATAAGTTGACATAAAGATGGCATTAATGTCGTTCAATTACTTACAGCTTGAGAATTTGGATGCACATAGGTAGGTCCAGCCTGAACAGGATACCTAAGCGTCTGCACCCTGCTTCCCATGTGTCCAACAATCTATATCCAGAAAGGGCAACCAAAGATGAATCCGAAAGTTCCACAACACCTCTCTCTTATATATTGTGTATTATATACAATGTTAATGCATTATAACAAGGCACATACCATGCTCTATTCCTGTGTTATTTTAACCATTGGATTTTCATCCTAGGACTTGTATGTATCTCATTGAGATACTAAATGTTATCAGTCTAAACACTCCTATATGTAATCTTCATTTCCTACTCACAGGTTAACACAAAAATCAATGTTGACCAACCATTGGACAAAAAACAACATAATATTCAAATCCCTACAAAGCATTTTATATCTCAAACAAATGTAAGCTATTGGATTTTGACCTAGTGATTAGTGATAAGAGATTTTTGTGTTCACTAGTGAGTAGAAAAGATCATGACTACACACACGCACGCAATTTTTATCTCAAACTCATTAATAAGAACAAAATCTATGTTCACCAGTGAGTAAGAAATCATCACGGTGGGTGTGTGTGTGTGCATATGTACATTGTATAAGTATATGGGCAGACAAGCACTGGTAAGGAGCTAAATTAAATAGTCAATCTTGGGCCGTAAGATCACTTTCCAAGGCTAAGGTTAAAACATTTGTAATTCAAGTTGTCTGAATGCTTTAATCTTGAATCTAATGGTCCAGGATTGACTACTTACTTTATCTCCTTATTTTAGTTACTAAAGAATATTTACATAATCAACTCTACAAGTGTTTATAACGCTAACTCTGCTACACTAACGCTGCTAGTAGTTATAAGCAGAGCTTTCACTAAAAGTCAAATTTCATATAATAACATCAACATGAATTCTGTATTCTATGATACATTCATATAGTCATCAATCCCCTATTCACAAACTACTGGAACAAAATCTGACTGCTGATATTCAAATCAAAGAGAAGTTATTGGTATAGAATTTCATGTCAACCAGTGAGTAGGCTGAAGTGCACACACCCCCATTATATATATATATATATACACACACACACACCCATATATAGTTGTTGTATAATACGGTTAACTGCACTTGCGAGTAACCAGTTTTGTGTCTGGCCAGTCACCGCTCACAAAACTGGTTATCCGAAACTGCAGTTAATCATATCATACAAAGACTGTACAATATAGATTGTATCATATAATAACCCGCATATGAATTTAGAAATGCCCATGGTACATACAGGTTGTGAAAATTGAGAACCACTGCCACCATGTCCATTGGTGAAATTATTGTACGGGACCACCTTAACAGGCACAGATGAACGAGATGGGAAAGGATTTGATCCGACTTCTGGCTGAGCAGCAGGAACAGCTACCACGGGGGAGTTGTTTGGTATATAACCCATGCTCACCACTGTTGGCACCGAAGGAGGGGTTGATGTTATGGGCTTTGTAAAAGATGGAGAGAATGTTTTTGCTCCTGGGTTGAGCTTAAATTCCTAAAAAGGAATACCAAAGAAAAAGGTTATCAACTTGACTATGTAATTAGGAAACACATCATCAACTTTAAAAAATTTATTAATGCCACCTCATAATATACTAGAGTAGTTGCACTTGGGATCACCAAGCATTAAGTTTCCTTAGTATTAGGACGCTAAACCCATAATCTATTAGAACACAATTACCAGCCGATTTCAACATAAGCTTCTTAGTGAACCAAGTGATGCATAAATTAGATAGCAATAAGGTGACCAACCAATTCTAAGAGAAGAATATACAAACCAATATAAATAAACTAATCATTCAAGTTGAATTTAACATGGTTCGTCCAATTATAGTGTTACCTTGGCACTTCTATTAAATTCTGGACCCTGAGGAGGGACCATTTCAGTTGATGTTGCCACCAAACGTCGACAAGAAGCATCTGCAGCTGGATTAAATAAAGTTGAGACACCTGAAGAAACAACATCAGAAGAAATGTCTGCTGAAGTTGTCCTTTCACAGCATTGATTGTCTGAATTAATAATTACAGTAACAGGATCACAAGATACTCCGGAAGGCAATCGCTTTGATGTCATCTTTTTATCATTAACTTTATCAGCCTGCAGAAGCATTTTGCACTGATAAATACAACGTATATTAGAATTGTGACAGAACAATCTTAGCAGCGGTTATCATTATATACAGTTTCTTCCCTATAAAACTCTGATTTATGTTTGAAATCATTAGGGGTTGATGTTATGCACCTCTTATCAAAGTGGCTTTTCTGCATATATCTTGAGTGCTAAAGTTGGCCATGTTTTTGTTCTGTTCAATAGAATTGTTCCTTGTTTTCTAAAAATGAAAAACAACCTCTTAAATTCCAAAAGAGATGTGGTCGAGTAAATATATGATGTTAAATACAAACTAAGGTATAAAGTAGACGGATAGAACCATGCCTATAGAAAAATTTACCTCTGATAAGTTCATCCCTTCACCTTTCCCATGTTCAACTTCCATGGTATTCCCACCATGTTTCGGTGGCAAATTCCTCCCTTCATGTTCCTTTCCAGGACCTGTGGAGGTGACGCCATGAGCAAGTCCATTTCCATTTTGCATTGGGCCCCTGCTAATATAAGTAAAGTATGACTACATACTATACATAAAATCGAATTGAACAGCAATAATTGAGCAACAGTTTATACAAGGGTATCCTTTCCCGTAGGAAAAACAGGCAGTAGCCATCTGCCAGTATAATCAGTTTCTATGATGAACAACTGAAGAAAACATATTTTCAGTTGAAACAGAAAATATGAAAACCTCTTTTATTCTCGAGACTTAGTGCAGATAACAATCCATACAAGTCCAACACTGAGACAATACCTGACACCGTTCATTTTCTTCTTATTTATGGCAGACTCAATTAGTCCATATAACAATCCATACAAGTCCAACACAGAAAAAATACCTGACACCGTTCAATTTCTTCTTATTTATGGCAGACTCAATTGGCTTCTTTGCATCATTCTTTATACAAACATCAGAAGGAATAGTACCCGCAACAGCTTCAGTTTCGTCACCAGCCATATTTCCAGCAACATCAGCCGCTGGAAGCAAAACTCCCTGAATGATGCATAAAGAGTCACATTTACCTACAGCAGATTGCTTAAGTTGTTTTCAAAAAATATAAGAGGAATGACATGAACTACATACCTTCGCAACAACTTGAACAAGGTCACCTGAGAGAATT